AAATGTAGGGTCAGTAACAGAATCGTCACTTGAGTAATCACTTATTTCAAGTTTTTTTTTCTGGAATATAAACTGGAAACTAAAAGAAACGAAAACTCAATTAAATAGGTATCAACAACAAATTAAAATATGTGTCATTTACGCTTGCACCAGGGATTTTCTAATAGTTAGATACATTTTTTTTTAAATCTGATAGAAAATTTAAAGGATTTATAATATTTTTATTTATAAAATTATCTACTGAATTATTTCACAACCATTCATTTAAATGCAAGTCATACATTCAAATGATAGAAATTGGTAGAAGCGTAAAAGCACCCCTCTTATCTTTGGTACGTAAATTCTAAGAATAATGTCCGTAATCCAATTAAATTAATATTATTGTAATCAAAATCAACTTCATCCTTTAAAGGGTTTTTAATTAAACGTACATCGTTTTCCCCTTACTTTAACATTTCTACACCAATGGAACACATCTAGAAGTTTTCAAATATTTAAGAATTTACTGAACACTATTTACGTAGCATAGATGAAAAAAATATTGTCAACAAAAATAATACATACCAGGTCCAGGTGTATCCGAAATTAGTGTTTGTGAAACTAGCTCCAATATCTGTCTACCTCTAAGACTTGTAAATTTACTATTTAAATCCATTTCATTATTTAACAGAAATACATTTCAGACTAATAAAACTATCACCATATCAGGCCGTCAACTTTATCGGAACTAGTTGAAAATGGTTTTAAAACGAAGATTCACCCGAAACTCAAGTGTCTTGTATAAACAAAAGAGGAAGAGCCGACTGTGGATATCAATATCATCACGAAATACACTGACTCTGCATGTATTTAATACTTATGTCACTAACAATATTTATTATTTTAGAAACAAATTTGATGAGCATAAATACCTATATCTACATAAGTGGTTTAGAACGCCGTTTCACATCGAACTCGCTATATTTGTTATGACTGAGTAAAAGTACTTAAGTCGAGTTAAGTGTTTATTACAGCCACCGTTATGAAATAAAAATAAAGAGTTATAAAGAGCACGATAAAATACTTTGATATATAAGCGGTATATGACTTAGGTGTTTATTCCAGTTGGTGTATTACACAAATTTGGATAGTTTGCGAGATTATGTATTTTTCGTTAAAAAATGACTTAAGTGCTTGCGACCGCCGAGTCTAGAAATGATCTATCTAGAGATAAATACACATTTCAAATCATTTATCTTGACATAACAAAATACACAATACCACCATTAACAGGAATAAAAAATTAACAGTTTGCAAATGCATATATTTTTGTTATGTTAACCTTTGTTTCTGAGTTTAACAATTATTGAGACCATTACCGCCCAATTAACTCATAGAGTAATAACTTAAGGTATTCGGAGCCCTAATACTATTTGAAAGATAATTGTTCTTTATTTTGACATTCCAAAATAAAGGATGTTGCATTTTAAATTATTCACTTGTGTGGATTGATATTAAAACAGTCATATTATTTATAATCATTTAGTATGCAGACAACGGATTTCAATATAAACTCCTGAAAAGTATTATTTATTCTCTAGAAGTAGCTTTTATAGACAATGACAATAACAACAAAATAGTCAGGAATCAAATAGATTATATTATCGTCAACAGAAGATATAGAAATTCTATAATATCATCTAAAACTTGTCCACGAGCGGACATATCCTCCGATCACAACCCGGTTGTTTTGTCGATGAGAGTGAAACTAAAGAAGGTCAACAGCCCTAGCACCAAGAAAATCATAGATACAAGACGTCTCAAACAAGACTACACATATGCTGAAACGAAATTAAAAAAAAAGAGAACTTAAGGAAAGTCAAAGAAGATAATGCGAAAACTGTAACTATTGACCAAAAATGGGGAAACATTCAACATGCCCTTATGTCAGTTGGAAAAGAAACCCTCAAACCACTTGGAGAAAAAACAAAACCTTGGATGACAGTAGAAATTCTTAAACTTATGGAAGAACGAATGAAACATAAAGCAAAAGACCTGAATAAATACAAAGAAATTCAGAGAAACAGAAAGAAAATTCGAGAGGCAAAAGAGAGATGGCTCTCCAACAGATGCAAGGAAATAGAAGATCTGGATAAAATGATAGCTTTAATTTACACAAAAAAATCAAAGAAATGACAGGTTCTAGAAAACGTACAAAAACGAATATCCTTAAAAATAATAAAGGGGATATTATTACTGATATGAAGGAGAGATAATGTCACTGGACCAATTACATCCAACAACTATTTAATGATGAAAGAGAAGAACTGACATTAGAAATCACCGAGGATATCTGACCACCAATATTAGGAGAAGAAGTCATCTATGCTATAAAAAAAAAACAAAAGAGGGTAAAGCTACTGAACCAGATGATGTGCCCATCGAATTATTAAAACTCATCGATGAAGATGTTATTGATATAATGGTTGAACTCTTTAATCTAATATATCAGACTGCCACAATCTCCAGACAATGGCTGCAATCGACCTTTGTAGCAATTTCCAAAAAGCCAAGTGCAACAACTTGCTTAGATCACAGAACAATAACTTTATTGAGTCACACACTTTTGAAAAAAAAAACATTTTTGAAAATAATTCAATTTGGCTTTATAAATGGTATGAGTACAAGAGATGCTTTGTTCGGCTTGAATGTGCTGGCTTACAGATGCATGGACATGAATCAGGACATGTACTTATGTTTTGTAGACTTTGAAAAAACATTTGATAAGGTGCAACATAAAAAGCTTGTAGATATATTAAAAAGCAAAAATATGGACAGTCTTGATATGACAATTATATCTAATTTATATTGGAATCAAACTGTCAAGGTAAGAATTGACAACCAGTACACCGAAAATATCGAAATACAGAGAGGAGTCCGCCAGGGTTGCGTGCTGATGCCACTACTTTTCAATGTCTACAGTGAAGCGGTATTTCAAGAAGCGCTCTCAGACTCAATAGAAGGTATATCTGTCAATGGAGAAGTTTTGAATAACCTACGTTTTACAGACGATACAGTAATAATGACGAATAACAACAATGATTTACAGAACGTAATGCAACGCCTTAATTAACGCTGTCATGAGTACGGACTGAAGATAAATTTAAAGAAAACTAAATGCATGATCATGACTAAATCTGCACATGCAAATATCCAATTAACTATTGAAGATACTGCAATTGAAAGTGTTAATAACTATAAATACTTAGGAACATGGATAGCATCAGATGTAGACAAAACCAAAGAAATTAAGACACGTATTGAGATAGCACGTACATCATTCGTTAAACTTAAAACGTTTCTTTGTTGTCGGGATATAAGGTTAGAACTATGCCTGAGAATGCTTCGATGTTACGTGTTCTCTACTCTTCTTTATGGCTTGGAAGCGTGGATACTAAAACAAGTCCATCTAAATAAGTTGGCCACCTTTGAATTTTGGTGTTACAGAAGAATCCTACGAATATCATGGATTCAAAGAATGTCAAACGTGGAAGTAACTAGAAGGATAGGAAATGAGGCGGAAATAATATTAACTAATAAAAGACGAAAACTTGAGTACTTAGGACATGTGGTGAGAGGGCAAAAATTACCTGTTGTTGGTTGACGCAAACAAAAAACATAATTTAAAACACATTTTTACGCAAAATATAAAAATATTGTATCAAATAACACATAAAATCATAAAGGCATAAATCTATATAATTAAATACATTAATTTAAACTGCAACATATTTACAAAAATATTACTGCTTTCATTGCTTTCACAATTCACACAATCCAAAAAAGTACCAGGATGGTTACAGGCCTCATGCGCCCACATTTTGCAATTTTTGCATTGTATCTAGTTTTCACCTAGCAAATCTAGCAAAAAAAGTCCTGTTCCTCTGAATCAATACAATCATTATCAATTTTTTTTTATTTTATTTTTTATTCTTTTCCTGGTTCTTTTTTTGAACAAATTGTTCTTTTGGCGGTTTTTGCATTCTTTTGTTCTCCTTCAAGAGTATTTTTATAGGCGTACGTCAATATTGCAGCATGACGCTTTCTTTTAGTATATTTAGGTGGTTTCTTTATAGCTAGAGCTTTTGGTTTTTTTTTCTCCTCTTGAATGGAACTTTTAGAACAGTTCATTTGACAATCTGGTTTATTTTCAAAAAGGTTAGTTTCAACACCCCGACTGAAGTCAGAAAATGCTCTTTAAAATTACCTCGTGGGAAAATAAAGAAAGGTGGAAAAGAGTTTCGTGTTGCAGATACTGTCGAAGTCATAGTAACCAATGTACCACATTTCTGAGAAGTTAAGCGACTCACTTGCTTAAATCCATGCCTGGGTACAACTTTATTGGGTATTTGGACGGTTGTAACTCCTATATCGTCCATATTACAAATTTGAAATGGTTCAAATCTTTGACGATAAAAAAACGTTTGTAAATTGCGAAAGAAATTTTCAACATTTTCTTTGCTGAAGCGCACGCTAATCTCGTTGCTTCAGGAGTTCTTATTGCAAGAGTGTTTTGTCGTTTTAGGTAAGCCGTAAACTAATCTGCACCAGCTATTTGGTTTTGATTCCAAGATTCACGAAATGTTAGGTAATTTTAAAGCATGGGCATACTCGTATCTCAATTTTCGCACTTCTTTGATTGATAAAGCAAAATATATATCACTTGCTGTTTTTACATATTCCTTGAGGAGATTTTTCCGCTCTACGGTGAAGACCTAAAAAAGAAATAGTTTCGACCTAGGGGAATACCCAAATTGTGTAACATTACATAAACATTAAGGATCTACATTTTTGAAACAGTCACGATATGTGCTTATTAAAAACATTTTTTTGTAAGTTAAATAAAATATTACTTGGCGATTTCCAAAATATCCCACGAGAGTCGATAGATGAAAAACTTCGCTGTTAATCTCTTCATCTGTAAATTTCTTTCAAAATCGTTTAAAGTTGCTTCGGGGATATCAAATACTTTTGCTGTGTTTCTTATAGATTTTTCGTTCAATTTCTACTCTCAGCATAATATCTGGTTTCTCAGACTTTCTATTATATACACTCATATTTCTGAAATAAAATTCACATTTAAAAAATGTGAATTTTGGGTTGGGGTTGGTTGACGGATACACCAACCAGCCCCTTAAAGGGTGAGTCAACCACACCTAAAATATAGCATTTTTATAAAATATATTTAATACATTTTATAAGCTAAGATTTTTCCCTCATTATACAAGGGAAAATATTACATTACAGTAGAGTCGCGATTATCCGAGCCTAGGATATCCGAGTCCCTTGGTTAACGGAGGCAAAAGTCGTAGCTGGTGAGTCACAATTGCGAATAGTTATGCGCTGTTAGTTCGAGCCGGAATTTTTATCTCCCAAGTTGGTCATCTCGTTATTTATGTGTCGCGTTTTGTCTACAATTATTGTTCCTATGTTAATCAGTTGGACAGGTGTGAATCAATAAAGAAGGTTGCTTCAGATTTAAGTATTGGAGAAGAAACTGTTCTAGTTTGGAAGCGCAAACCAAATGAACAGTGCGTCAACCGAAGTGAGTCGTGGGAGTAGATTGGCGCGGAAAACAATGAACAAATTTCTGAGGCGTTGTTGTGGTTTTCACAAACGAAAGGATTGGGCAGCTCGATAAGTAGTCCAATACTCCAAGCAAAAGCTATTGAATTCCACACAAGAAGTTTATGGACGGAGGAGGAAACTTGTGTGCTAGTGAGGGATGGATTGAGTCGTGGAAGAAGAAATATGGTATCAGACAATTGAATCTTAGCGGCGAAAACTTTTTGCTGACTCACTTGAAATTTGAACATTTTAATAAAAATTACAAGACATTATCTTTAAAGATGGATTGACTTTAAACCAAATATTTAACTGTGATGAGGCCGGCCTTAATTTTAAAATGCCTCCTTGGAAAACACTAGCTGCTAAAAATAAAGGAACTGCACCAGGTTATAAGAATAGCAAATAGAGTCACAATCATGATTTATTAAAATTAATATATCTTTTTGAATAGTAAAATCCAAAAATCCAAGGACATTCAAAAATATCCAATTTAATTGCTTACCTATAACCTATAAAACCAACGCAATGCATGGTATGTAACATTTTTAAGAACTGGCTTTTTGATGACTTCTCACCAGTCGTTGATGCCTACCTAAAAAAAAATTGCCTCCGAAAGCTTTGTTGTTGCTGGACAACGCCCGATCTTATCCAGACGAGAGTATAAGAGCTGTGCTCCTTTCACCCAATGTGACGTCTTTTCATCCAACTCCTAGACCAAAGCGTTATAGAAGCAATGAAGATGAGTTACCGACGGGGCCTTCTACAGGTACTGCTAAACAGGCTGGATGAAGGGCTGACTGTAATTCACGCATTTTAGAAGATCGCGGTTATTAGATGTTTGCTATTGGATTTCATCTACATGGAATGACGTAAAAGTGTCCAATATTCAAAAATCATGGAAAAAATTGTTTCAGATAGGAATAAAAACACTGGACCTTAAAAAAATGACTGTGAAGTTGATACTATAGCCATCCTAGCCAATCAGAGACCAAGACGTCATCGATTATATGAATTGCTGATCTAGTTCTAAACATCAACCATGAATAAGAAGATACATATAAGATAACTCAAAAGATTTCTCATTCCGATGAGTTAAAGGTCCTTAAAGCAGCTCTCGCATACGAGCAGCAAGAGGAATCGACGGCAGTAGATGTACTTCATTTTTAACGTTGGCGCAACATCGCCACCTCAAAAAGGGGAATGAAGCTTGAAACGACATTTTTAAACAGTGATATTGATAAGTGAGCTGCTTTTAGAAGGATGTCCAAGGTGTTATGTAACAGAGACCTAAAATTGGCATTAAGGATCCGCCTACTTCGCTGCTACGTGTTCTCGGTCTTACTTTATGCTGTCGAGTCCTGGACTGTGGATAAAATCGATCTAAATCGCCTTGAGGCTTTCGAAATGTGGTGCTATAGAAGAATTTTAAAAGTTTCCTGGGTGGAGAAGATTCGTAACTCCACAATACTAGAACGTCTCAGCAAGACTACTGAGATCATAAAAAGCATCAAGCAGAGAAAGCTGGAATATTTCGGACATGTAATGAGAGGTCCCAAATATAGATTGCTACAAAACATCATGCAAGGAAAAATAGCAGGCAAACGCAGTCCAGGACGAAGAAGAACCTCATGGTTGAAGAACTTGCGAGACTGGTATGGTGTAGATACAAGCATGCTATTTAGGGTGGCAGTGAATAAAATTAAAATAGCTATGATGGTAACCAACGTTCTGAAAGGACATGGTACATGAAGAAGAAGAAGATATTGATAAGGTAAATGTTTTTATCTTTTACATACAATACTGTATTAGCTTCTAGTCATTTTAATAACCACAGTTATTGTTATTTACATGTTTTTCTATCAGTACAACAACTCTCGGTGTTAACCGAGTTTTCTCCGTATCCGAGGTAGTAACGGTCCCAATTACCACGGATATATAGATAGATAGATATGTAAAAATTTCTATTCCATTAGGAGAATATATACCTCTGTTTTCCAGGCAGAGACATTTCTAGTACGTAATATTGCATTGTGCAAGAGAAATTAACATGAGGCTTTGGAAGTTAAGCAGATCAATACATGAAAAGATCATGGCATCTGGTGGCTTGAGACTCTCAGGATGGCTAAGGTAAACTCTAGGCTAGTGTAGGAATACCGAAAAAAAAACTCGCGGAACATAAGTGTCAAACTGGTATGGGTGTCAGGGCAAAAGAACTTGCTAGAATCAGCAAAAAAATACTTCGGTCCGTAGAAGTGCCAAAAAGCACCATCCTTGACCGAAAAGTACACTCGGTCAAGTACACGGCAAAATATACATACTACGGACATGTGCTAATAGGGCTAAAGTACTAAGAAAAATAAGCAGAAATCAGCTCCAAATCATAACAGACTTCCTTACTGAATATTCGCCATTCAAGGGACACCTGCATACAACAGATGTAGAGTAAGCCAAATGGCTGCAATACGACCTACATGTAGCAGACAGCTTGTGATAAAAAATTATAGGCTACGTGAAACCCCCTTATAAAATGTTTTAAACAAAAAAAAATATTAAAACCATCTGCAATAGCAATATTACCAGTAGTAAAACCTACAAGCGACTAACTAAATAGTTAAAATACACCACTATCAATAATATTATAAGATTTATATTTATAAATACCTTACGCAGGAGTGTCGTCACCGTAGGAGGACATTATCGTACTTTTGATCGAACATTTTGTAGTGTACCACATCTCAACAAAAAAAACGCTACCTCCATTTAGAAAAAAAAAACTACAACTTTCACTCTGTACTGCACATAGAAATATAATTTCTTAAGTACCTTATTATTTAAAGAGATGAGATAAAACTATTACATATGGAACGATTTTGCGCTGGCAAATAGAGATAGGGAGTGTAGATTGTTAATCCTCCTAAAAGTTTATCTAAGGAAAAATCCATATCGTATATTTATCATCAATAATTGCCTGTTCCATGAATTCAAAATTGTTTTACATATTTGCCAATATGATTCACTCTATTTTTAAATAGTGTAATTTTTAAGAATAATTATATATTAAAAAAAAATTACTATAAAGTAGTCGAGATTTTTATTTATCAAACGAGTTTAATTGTATTTACATTTGACATTATTCTGGTAGTATTATTAGGTGCCAAGTTATTTTGTTACTCCAGTCGTCAGAGACGAAAATGCCACTGAACCTCTAAAAATCATACGAACATGAGAATTTTGCCAAGAATATTAATTTTGGGACCCTAAAAAAGATGCAAAAAAGTTTACCGCTTCTACCCCTGGGTTTTCTTCTAAAATTCCCTCGCAGAGGGGAAAAACGCGAAAAAGATCGATTTACTAAGAAACTGTACACTGTAGAAAAAAATGTTCCAAATAAAAAATTTGCATGTCAGTTGCACGCGCGAAATCAATGTTTAATAAAATTTGTATCAGGTAGGCGGTAAAAATTCGATATATTTTGATTCAACTCACCTATCAACAAAAATCAAGACGCGTTTTAAAGGAAAATCAATCAGGTTTCGTATGCAGTTTTTGTATTTTTCTATATCAGATTTTATACAGGTTTTAAATAAATGAACGAGGCGCGATTTTTGCCATTTTTTATGATTCTCACGAGATCAATACACTATATCCCTTCTATTGAAATATGCTTAAAAAACTTTGGATTTAAATTTTTACATAACAAACGATCTAAAACATTTAAAACTTTTTTAATTACACTAGTGCGTTTTTCAAAAGACCAAAACTTTTACAATAATATACATCTAAAACAGTCTTCTTAAATGCATTTTCTGTGATGTGTGATCGTTTGTAATGTAAAACATTAAATTCTGCGTTTTTTATTCATATTTAAAATGCCTCATATTTGTTATCAAACTCAAAATTGAAATTTCATGTCATAGGTTTTAAAGATCTTTTTAAGAATGGAGATTTTACTAAAACTGGTCAATAAAAGTAATCAATTTATTTAACACCTTTATAAAACCTGAGTTTCTTCTCGGCAAAATACGTGCTACGTAGTTGCACAACGTAATGTGCAACGTTTTTCGTTTAATTGAGACTTTCATTATGTGTCTTGCTACCTAAAATTTTATTCCCGAAAATTTTTAGAAGTATATCACTTCTTAGTTCAAAAATATTTTCTCTCACAGTACCAAAATTTTACCCAAAGTCAGAATTATTAATCAAGTCGTTATTAAAAAAGAATGAATGTACTTCTCTTTTCATATGATTTTCGTTTATATATATATATATATATATATATATATATATATATATATATATATATATATATATATATATAGGTTTTTTAAGCGCTCCTATGGATAATTCTGCTTGCTTCACAGTTTAAACTCTTCCTCCATATATAAAAGGCAAATATAGTGAATCAATCATTCTAAACAAAACAACAAAAGAAACAAAATATTTAATTATCTGACGGGATTAAGAATTGGAAGGTTATAATTTCATTGAAATGATGTTAAAACAGGTATCATCGGCGTACAATCCAAGATTGCTAGGGTAATCGTCCTGAAAGGAAAAGAACAAGCAAAAGAGGGGCACTAGTAACTGT